GAGAGAGAGAGAGAGAGAGAGGATTGCAAACTTTACACTTTCTTGCTTTCATCGCCTTTCTAGCTAATATACCAGCCAAGTTGAAAGGCAACAGCGCCACAAGGGCGTTATTTATTAGTTTCTGATTCCTTCTTTGAATTGTAGAAAGAAGCTTTGAGAAAGACAGAAAGGGAAAGAAAAAACAAGTTTATGCCTCCTCTTTTTCCTTGCTTCTAATTTTTTGTGAATCCTATTCATGGGGAGGTGGAGATACAAATTCAGAGCTTTCCGACTATCCGAAATGATGCCAAATTCATGGCTCAATAAGCTGAGGGACATGAGAATCAGAAGAAGCAAAGGTAGCAGAAAAGTTCAGAATTCCATGAAAACCGGAAGATCCTTTGAAAACCAAAAGCCAAGCCGAGAAGCGCCACAAAAGCAAGCATATGACCCAAACAGACCGTCCAATTATATTCCAAGCGGAAACAGAGTAGAAAAACTTCCTTATTCTCCCACGCCTTTCGATAAACCGAGAAAAACCAAGCCAAATATTCGTAAGAATCCGCTGAGCACTCAAAACAAGCACATCTCTTCCTCTCTGTCTTCCATTAATAATTCCAAAGAACAGAGCTCCTCCTTTCCAAGCTCAGAGCCAGCCCATGAAACTCCTCTGCACCACTTGGACGGTGTCTTATTCTCTACTGATTTTAATCTTTCCATTATTCTTCCTCCTATAGTGACTAAGCCCATCAAGAAAGCGACACATGAACCCGACATAGCAGCTGGACAACCAATCCACGTAAGGAGGTTATACACGTCCCAAACTCCACGAAATAAGATGCGATTGAATTCACCCAGGCTAGCAAAGAAGAGGCTACGACAGAAGAACGGGTTGGCTGATAGCTTCGTGGTGGTCAAGTTTTCGTCAGACCCGGAAAGTGACTTCAGAGAATCCATGCTAGAGATGATCTTTCAGAACAATCTTTGGGCTTCGAAGGATTTGGAGGAGCTTCTCTCTTGCTATCTTTATTTCAATTCGGACGAGTATCACGATCTCATCGTGCAGGCTTTCAAGCAAATCTGGTTTGATCTTACTGTCATGAACCTGCAATACAAGTAGCTTGAATATATAT